GACATCTCCTTAATTGCAAACTGTTTGCAATATTCACCTTGGTAGACATCCCCTTGCACTCAACCTGTTTGGTAAATATCTCCTTGATTTTTTTCTAGACATATCTTTGATCTCAGCCTTTTGGTAGACATCCCCTTTGGTCTGAACCTATTGGTGGACATCCCTTTGATCTGAACCTATTGGTGGACATCCCTTTGATCTCAGCCTATTGGTAGACATCTTTGATAGACATCCTCTTGATCACAACCTATAGGTAGACATCTTCTTGTCCCTTTGATCTAAGTCTATTGGTATACACCTCCTTGATCTCAACCTATTGGTAGATCTCTTTGATCTCAGCCTTTTGGTATACATTTCCTTGATCACAAATTGTTTGTAATAATCACCTTAGTAGACGTCCCTTTGATTGTAACCTGTTGGTAGACATCCGCTTCAGCTCAACGTATTGGTAAACATCTTGGTAGATACCTCTTTTGATCTAAGCCTATTGGTAGACATCATCGAGGTAGCTATCCCCTTGGTCTCAATCTATTGGTAGACATCATCATAATCATCCATATCCTTCCTCTGTATTGCTGTAATTTCTGCTGGGGACATCACTTCTGCGTTCATATTTGAAGGCTCGTTTTTCTAGCATCCTGGCCTAGCCTTAATGAAGTCCTCATCTATCTCCGGCAAGGCGCTCTGCTCTCATGATGCTTCTCATTTTTCTCTGAAATTCCATGTGATTAGCGACATCCCAGACTGTTAGGGAAGGCCTTTTAACATACCCATATGTCCTTTGATGCTTGCAGATTTCCATGGGAATGAGCTCAGACTTTGATGGCCCGTCACAGCATCCTGGCAACTTGGAATCCAAAGCAAGACTTGGCTCTCTGTGGTAGGCGTATGCACAAGGTTATTAGATGACGTGCTTTGAGAGTGGAAATCACGTCATGGGAAGGAAACACCAGAAGGCATCAAAGATGGTGCTGGCTTTAGCAGCGGTGGGAGAGGAAGATCCTGCACCAAAACAGAAAATGGATCGTAATGCTTTATCAACTGTTTATTAAGCAAACGTTTATCTTTATGAATGAGGTTCTGTGGCATCAGACTGCTGGGTTTTCAAATATTTTAAAGTGGACCTGTCATCAGATGTATTAAGACTGAATTCCAGGAATGGCAATTGTTACATTGATTCAGCTTGGATCAATATAACTATATATGTTTCATAAATATGGGGTCCCCGTGGAAGCTGGAAACCCTGTAATAGACGCTGCTACAGTGATCTCCACTAGCTTCTGGGTCCCAGACCCAGCAGCTGCCCTGCTGCTTTGTGAACACAGGAGGTCCAAGCTGGAACAATGTAACTATCAGAGGTGGACTGACCATTCGGAAAGCCGGGGGCACTGCCCGGGGTCAGTAAGGGGCCCCATGAGATGCCCCTGGTATCTTTCATAGGCTTTTTTGGGTGTGGTTTGAGTGTGGGCGGGGACACGGGGGCCCCATGAGTTGTCAGTCTGCCCCTGGTAACTATATAACAATGTCCATACCTGGAATTCAGTGCAGAATGCTAAGTAATATGTTGATGTAACTCTTCCAGGTATGTATTATCTTTCACAGAGATCACAGCCCTGCACCTGACAATGTCTTCATCTGCTTTTCTCTCCAGAAGAACAGATCCATCTTTGTTGAGGCATCATGCAGGGTTGCCATCTACTTCCAGGACTGAGATGCAGACATAATCATATACATAACTACTGGTGCCTGGGCATTCCTTGGCTGTGCTCACAAATGTCTGACAGACCAGCCCCCTTGCCAGAGCCTCTCAACCTACAACTTTGCTACAAATGTAATCTGATCGCTGGGGCAGAAGAGACTGAGGAAATGCTTCCTCCAGCCTGCAGGAGACTGATGACTTTGCCTAGGCTGAGATGATGTGACCAAACTGGAGCTTTAAATGCTGCCTTTTGGCAATAAAAGGTGGAGCTCAACCACTTGCCCACTGCCCTATAGCAGAAATACTGCTGCAGGGCGGCAGGGCTGTGCAAAATCGTATGTTTGTATATATATATATATATATATATATATATATATATATATATATATATATATATATACAATACAGATCTCTCCTCTGTCGGCTCCAGGACACTGCTTTGTATAGCAGAGCAATACAAAGCAGCATGCTTACACTGTAAAACACACACACACAGCACAGAGTAAAACAGCACACAGTTAACCCTTTGATTTCAGATGTTAACCCCTTTCTGCCCAGAGCCATTAGTACAGTGTCGGTGCTTTTTATAAGCACTGATCATTGTATTGGTGTCACTGGGGATGTCAGTGACACCAAGTCAGTTCCCCCACCAGTGTCAGAATGCCCGCCGCAGTCCTGCTATAAGTCACTGATCACCGCCATTACTAGTATAAAAAAGAAAAAACTCCAGTATATATACCGCCACTTGTAGACGCTATAATTTTCACGTAAACCAATTAATTTACACGTATTGGGATTTTTTTTATTTTTCAGCAAAGAGATGGAGCAGAATACATTTTGGTCTAAATTTATGACGAAATTTGATTTTTTTTTTTAACTTCTTGGCGCCAACCAAGCGCAAATGTGCGGCCTCCCGGCATCTGGGCCTAGACGCTGAGCAGCCGCACATTTGCGTTCTATTAGAAAAAAAACATATGTGCTGAGAGCACGCTCCCAGCACACATGTCCGGTACTCACGGAAAGGTCCCGATCTCCTCTTTCGAGCGGGACCTTTCCCGATCACGTGACTGCCGTGGTGGCGTGTCACGGCGGTCACATGACCCTAAACCCCACCCTGTCTCCCAGCTTCTGAAACCCTTAAAGGGCCGGGAGGCGCTGGCGCCAAGGGGTTAAATTTTGCTGGACATGTTTACCCATTTGACGCCCGGCCTATGGCCAAATGGCGTCCGCAAAACTGTATTACCTTTCCGGGAGGCCGCCATATGGCGTCCTCCCGCACATGCGCAGTTCACGCGCTTGCAGAGCCGCGCAGCGGCGCGATCTGTCACCGGCTGTGTACCTCGGACACGGCCGATGACAGATCTGAGTACCGGCCCCCGTTGCTGGTACCATGTGACCTGTTGTGACCAATCACAGCAGGTCACATGACAGTTGTATACAATGGATGGCTTCATTCATGCCATCCATTTGTATACTAGTGTCTAGCTGTGAATGGTCACAGCTAATCACATGCACATGTCATGTGATTAGCTGTGGCCAAATCACAGCTAAGCACCAAAAAAAAAAACCCTGAATGAATCGATGTCATTAAGGTAAATGCTTGCTTATAGCAAAGTAATTCTTTGGTATAAGCATTGTGTAAAAAAAAAAAAAAAAAATAAATTATTGATCACTTTCCCAAAGTAGTACAATGTTACTATGGTAACATTGTACTACTTTGGACATAGTGAAATATGAAAAAAAATCTTAAAAAAAAAGAAAAAGAAATTAATAAAACATTTTAAATAAAAAAAAATAAGAAAAAAATTTTTTTTTTTTTTCTTCACACTGTCACCAGTCAGTGTCCCTGATCAGTGCCATGCCAGTTATATGATGACGCTGTACTGCACTGGTGACAGTATGTAAAAAAAAATAGTGAAAATATTTTTTTTTTATTTTTTCATTTTCTGAAAAATTATGACAAAAAAAAAAAATACAACTTCAAAAAACTTGCCATGCCTCTTATAAAGTACGTCGGACTGTCTACTCTGCAAAAAGGGGTCATTTGGGGGATATCTGTACTGTTCTGACATTTGGGGGATATCTGTACTGTCCTGACATTTGGGGGATATCTGTAGCGTCCTGACATTTGGGGGATATCTGTACTGTTCTGACATTTGGGGGGTATCTCTCTCCAAGGCAGGTACAAACAGCAGCAAAATCCACCCTTGAAGGGGGGACTGGGGAAAGGACATCAAAGATGGCCGCCGGCCTCAGCGGAATGATGTCACACCCTGGCTCCTCACTAACGCGTTTCATGCACTAGCACGTTATCAAAGTCCCCAATCGTAGCGCTCTACAGCGCTGTTATACCAATTTTTATTATCTGTGTGTTTAACTTATAGCGCTGCATATCTTTGATTGTATTTAGGAAGGTATAGAGGATTTTGCCTTTATGTCAGCTGCTTATTCCCTGTACTACCTAGCGCTCGTATACCTTTGCTATTGTTTTTACCACCAAAAGAAAGCTCTAGTTGTGGGGAAAAAAAGGACATAAATTTAATTTGCAACGTTGCATGACTGCGCAATTGTCAGTTAAAGTGACAGCGCCGTATTGGAAAAGGAGCCGGGCCTGGTCAGGAAAAAGGGAAGGCCGGGGGGGGGGGGGGGGGGGGGGGAGGAGGAATCCTCTGAAGGGGGGCAAGTGGTTAGTTCAGGGGTGGGCAACTGTGGCCCTCCAGATGTTGGTGAACTACAAGTCCCATTGTGCCTCAGCCTTTGGGAGTCATGCTTGTAACTGTCAGTTTTGCAATGCCTCATGGGACTTGTAGTTCTACAACAGCTGGAGGGACACAGTTGCCCACCCCTGAGCTAGTTCATTCTTTTGTATCACCGCTTCCATTGCTCTCCACTGGCCAAACTCTGAACTTGCATCCAGCTAGGAGCAGTAATGAATCTCATGCATTTAGAGAAGGGGGTCTTCAGCAAGACACAGCAGGAAGCAGTGGCTGCTGAATGATCAGATTACATGCACCCTGTTCATTCTGTGCTTGTCTCTGCTTGAGAAAAACCGTCAAACTTGAATTTAATATGCTTTTATTTTGCCTGTCCTGGTTCATCCCCCTGAAATCCAATGAATAAAAGATGTGGGATAGTCAGGCTGGGGAGGAAAGTGCAGTATGGCGATGGACAACCTCCAGCTTGGAAATGAGGCTCTCTCTGACTTGCTGCAACTTCTAATGCACATTGTGAGACGTTCACAGGGTGCGGTGAAATCAGAGTAAGCCGCTTCAGTTTGAGAGAGGAGCCAGTACACCTGTATAAGACTGAAGGGGAGGAGCCGGTACACCTGTACGAGACTGAAGGGGAGGAGCCGGTACACCTGTACAAGACTGAAGGGGAGGAGCTGCTACAACTGTACAAGACTGAAGGGGAGGAGCAGGTACACCTGTACAAGACTGTACTGAAGGGGAGGAGCCGGTACACCTGTACAAGACTGAAGGGGAGGAGTTGGTACACCTGTACAAGACTGAAGGGGAGGAGAGGGTACAACTAAGAGACTGAAGGGGAGGAGTTGGTACACCTGTACAAGACTGAAGGGGAGGAGTTGGTACACCTGTACAAGACTGAAGGGGAGGAGAGGGTACAACTAAGAGACTGAAGGGGAGGAGTCGGTACACCTGTACAAGACTGAAGGGGAGAGAGAGGTACAACTAAGAGACTGAAGGGGAGGAGTCGGTACACCTGTACAAGACTGAAGGGGAGGAGCCGATACACCTGTACAAGATCTCGAAGGGGAGGAGCCGGTACACCTGTACAAGACTGAACTGTAGCCGGTATCAGTACAAGACTGAAGGGGAGGAGTCAGTACACCTGTACAAGACTGAAGGGGAGGAGCCGGTACTCCTGACAAGACTGAAGGGAAGGAGATCGGTACACCTGTGCAAGACTGAAGGGGAGGAGCCGGTACACCTGTGCAAGACTGAAGGGAAGGAATCGGTACAACTGTGCAAGACTGAAGGGGAGGAGCCGGTACAACTCTGCAAGACGGAAGGGGAGGAGCTGGTACACCTGTGCAAGACTGAAGGGAAGGAATCGGTACAACTGTGCAAGACTAAAGGGGAGGAGCCGGTACACCTGTGCAAGACTGAAGGGGAGGAGCCGGTCCACCTGTGCAAGACTGAAGGGGAGGAGCAGGTACACCTGTGCAAGACTGTAGGGGAGGATCCGGTTCACCTGTACAAAACTGAAGGGGAGGAGCCGGTACACCTGTACAAAACTGAAGGGACATGCTGCAACTTGTGGTTCAACAACAACTGGAGCAACTTGGGTTTCCACAAAGTGAAGCAAGTGCTCTCCTTCCCTCCCCCACAATAGTTCTGCAGCATTGTGACCGTCCATGTCTCCTGCACAGCTCCCCCCCCCCCCCAGCAGACAGGCGCTGTATTTCTGCTCCCCTGACTGTGCGCCCTCCTGAATCCGCTTCACCCCCACTTTGTGTCTGTGTGCCGTCCTCTCATGTGTGCTATTTCTGGAGGAAATCTCATCAATTATTAATCGTTCTTCTCTGCATCTTCTCCCCGATCGTCCTCAGATCTACCCTGACTACTGAATCACATCATGTAGAGCACAGAACAGAAAATGCAGAAAATGGGATCTTCTGCAGGGAGAAGGAACAGGAAAGTGATCTCATTTATGGCCAAAACTCCTCAAGAGAGGTGACTGTACAGAGATCATACTCCTGACATTGATATCTCTCCTGTACGGAGATCATATCTCTCCTGTACTCCTGACATTGATATCTCTCCTGTACGGAGATCATACTCCTGACATTGATATCTCTTCTGTACGGAGATCATACTCCTGACATTGATATCTCTCCTGTACGGAGATCATACTCCTGACATTGATATCTCTTCTGTACGGAGATCATACTCCTGACATTGATATCTCTATACTGTACGGAGATCATACTCCTGACATTGATATCTCTTACTGTACGGAGATCATACTCCTGACATTGATATCTCTATACTGTACGGAGATCATACTCCTGACATTGATATCTCTTCTGTACGGAGATCATACTCCTGACATTGATATCTCTTCTGTACGGAGATCATATTCCTGACATTGATATCTCTTCTGTACGGAGATC